AACAACAACAACAACAACAACAACAACAACAACAACAACAACAACAATAATAATAACAATAATAATAATAATAATAATAATAATAATAATAATAATAATTTGTTCTGAATCTTACTCCCGCGTTTGGCCTCAGATACGAGCCGACCATCAAATTTCTCCTGTGACATGGGTAACTAGGGACAAATCGTCTATCACAAACCCTCCCCCCCTCTGAGAACTTCTGTGCAGGCTTATCAGAACTGCCCGCTGAAATAACATCATCAGAACTGTGGCCTATCTGAAAAACGCTCATGGCCAAATCTCAACGTCTTGACGTCAAATGCATCTGTAATGTGTTTTTAAATGTGCTTGCTGGCAGAGTTTTTTGATGTCTCAAATCGTGTCCTGATAGGACAAGATGTGAAAGATCTTTTTTGTAATACCACTATCTACCCTTATGATTCTTACTCTTTTTCTATCTAAAAGTGTTCTGATAAAGAATAAGGGACCACACTTTTTAGCAGCAGCAACGTTCACTCCGTCCATTTTTCGGAAGACTGTACGAACATAATTTCTCCGTATCCCGGTAAAATGATAATAAGCTTATTCTGATTCTGATCACTAATGTTCTGTAACAAAGCTCTGAGACCATCATAGAGGTTCATAGAGTATTTATACTGTGATCAAATTACACACAGGTGGACTAATTATTAATTAGGTGATTTTTAAAAGCAACAGGTTGCACTGAACTTTAGCTAGAAGCATCAGAGTACCATAAATGGGGCTGAATACCGATGCATGCCACTCTTTTCAGATTTTTATTTGTAATAGAAATTGGAAGGCCATGAATTGTTTTCCTTGCATTTCACCGTTACAAAGCTACAAGCGAGCCATCTTACAGCTTGGCTTAAAATAGAGTCAACTGAGTAAAGTCATCTGCATATATCATCTGCATAAAGGTGCACTTTAAAACTAAACAAATTCACCTCAGTGTCATTAATGAAAGTGGAGACTAAAACAGGACCTAAATTTAAACTTTGAGTGACAATTTAAAATCTTTAAAACTGGACTTAAGTCCATCTGCAGAATCCCACTGCATTCCATCTGATGGGTATCTTTTAACCCCCCTAAAGACTCATCACGCAAACTAACATTGTGTTAATTTAACAGCAGCTCGTGATCAACAGAGTGAAATGCCTTGGATAATTTAATGTTCCTGACCAAGACAATAATATAATTTGTTACCTACATAGCTATGGCACTATTTACATTCAACCTTTATTTATATATTTATTTATTTCCCATTGAGTGTCGGGGACTCATTTACAAGAGACATGTTTTTTCACAAAGAATGATGACAACAGTAGACAACAAAAACAACATTAGAGAGCCATAAAAGAAAGCATGTTAATTGAGAAGAATAAATGAAAAAAAAAAAGTATATAAAAAAAAGACCCAACCTAAAGCTAGACTAAGTTTTGCTAAGTATATAATTATCAAACAAATATTGCCTGGTGTTGAGTCTACAATCTTTGAAAATGTGGGCAGTTTGGATAAAGGGGGATAATTATTTAAATCTGATGGCCCCTACTCTTTAATAATAGAACAGTCATTTTAATTTGAGTCTGCAGACTCAGGTTCTCCTGACAGCTGAGTTTGACTCTAATCTGGGAAACTTGTCATTTACCTTCTAAATTCATTTTTACTTGTTCTTTGGATAGCTTGCTGATTAATAATGCAAAAAATTACAAACATGAAAAGGTGCTTCCTTCAACCTGTGATTTATGTCAGAAAGACACAACAAGACAGTGATATACTGTAAAGGCTAAATAAATAAATAAAAAATGTACGATTCCTTAAGAGACCAAGCTGTCGACCAAAATTAAGAAATGTGAAACAGTTTTGATTTTGCAGTGAAGATAAAAAACAAGTAGAACTACAATCTGTAAGTAACATCCACTCCTGTACTAACAGTTTTAGTTAGAATTACTAATTACCCTGCCAGAAGGAAAGGCAAATTAACATTTTCATTCAGGCACTTCAGAAGAAAGAACATTATTAAGCTGATTAATGCTCCAAAATGAGACATTATCTCACTCTTGGCTCTAGGGTTGGTGTGAGTTGAAGCTTTACTGTCAGAGCTCAACTTTTGAAAATCCTTATATTGGCCGTCTGAGCCTCTGCATGTGTGTGTCTAGAACATCATCTTAAAAAGCACAGAACCAGAGTGTATTTATGGACATCTTGAACATGCACAAACTTATGCACACAAGGGCAAAGCAGTTGCTTAAGTCAGCTTAGGGCTGTGTGTCTGTCAGCATTTTAGTCCATGTGGTAATAGAAGAAAAAAGAAACTGTAATTGCACATGTTCCCAGTACACACATACTGTGTACACCCACACACACTGAAAGACATGACACTTCATATTAGCATCAGAGAATGAGCGTTTCCCTCCCAGCAGACTTTGTACATCCACTCAGAAACCTACACACACACACATACACACATTTACAGTAGGTAACAATATTGTAAACATACAGGGCTGTGTAATAGCTCTGATTTCTTAGTTTAGACCGTGGACTAATTTATTTTGCAAGATTCAACATGAGCAATTAAGCATGCACACAAACAGCTATAATCATGTTATTTAAATCCATTGTTGTCTTAATATGTAAAAAAAAAAAAAAAGGCTTAAATATTGTAATAGAGCACAAATATGACCTTTTTTATTTTACATTATCCACAACCCCAAGAATTTGAAGATATGAACTCCTTATTCCTTGAATTAAAATGCATATTGCTTGCCACCTTTCATGCCACATTTTTAGACGAAAATAATCTTATGTTGAAAATTATCATTGTAGCTGTTCTGGGCAAACATCAGAAATATCATTATGTGCAATCTAGTGCAAAGTCACTCACAGCGTATCCTCTGAGTATGTGTTGTCAATGACTCTCAGCTACTACCACATCAAAGTTTAGCTCAATGTCTGTAAAACTGACTAAATTGTATGCATTTTTGTGATGGATAAAGTCCATTAGCTGTGGCAACCATCTTGAACTGGTTTGACTCCAAAAGTTAAAAAAGCTGCAGATGCAGCTTAAACGAGTACGTTCTGAACACTTTATTAAAATCAGTCCATAAATTCATGAGATATTTCACCAACAGACAGACAAAAAACATTTTGTCCACTTCTGCCTCTAGGAGGTGGGGGCTGATTAAAAAAAAAAAAAGGTTTCAATCAACTTTCTTTCGCAACAACAATGAATGTTTCCATAAAGCTGTCCTGCTGCAGTCATAGTCAGAGTGAAACCTAAACATTCCTCAAAAGTATACTTACAAAACGTTATTAAGTGATGCATTATAGATCAGTGCAGAAAAAAACAACAACCTGTATGTCTTTGGATATCAAGAATGACATCAACATGTCGTCAAATGTTTGGTGCAATATGTAAATGTACCAGTGTTGGATTTTTTTTTCTTTCTTTTGTGCGTCATCGTTTTGTCCAGTGTTTGAAAATCAGTTCTGATGTTGAGTTGTGGCTGTAATCAGACCATAATCAGTGACACACACACACAGAGGAGAAGGTGGCTGATTGGAGAGTTGTTTTTCTGCTCACACAGCTCCTGCTCAATAACGTCAAAGCTCAGTGTTGATGTGAGATCAGCTGTTTTTATCCCATTAAAAATCAACTTTACAATACCAAACTTGATAAAAATGTATTTCCACAGCTTCCTCCTCAATAGGGATTCTGACCATCATCCCGGCCACAATAATCTCAAACTGATCAAAGGCTGTTAAAGAGAGCAGCTCTGGCTTAGTTTCTCAACTGATGTGGAGACTGAGAGGTCAAATCTAATTAAAACCACCTCACTCATCCTTCTGTG